TGTTTTATACTAATAATGGTGGGCAATCTGACACTAACTGACAATGACATCACAGGACAGTGACACTAACTGACAATGACAACACAGGACAGTGACACTGACAATGACATCACAGGACAGTGACACTAATACAGGGATCAGTGGCAATACTATACACTGTCACTGTACTAATGACACTGGCTGGGAAGGGGTTAACATCCCGGGGCGATCAAAGGGTTCACTGTGTGCCTAACCACGTGTAATGTGTGTAACATGTGCTGCTTTTACTAAGATAAGTGGCTGTTTTTTTTGCCCTGCTTTGCAGGTAAAAAAAAAAACTAGCACTTCACTGCTCTCCATTCAGAGCCTTGTGTTCTTAGCGAAAATTCCAAAAATATAGATTAAATGTATTTTTTAAAGACATATCGTATATTTGAAAATGTATTTGTAAAAACATTTTTCATACAATTTGTAATATATAAAAAACGCATTTCAACATACAGTATATATATATATATGAGGATGACACATGATCCTGGAGCCAACAGTAGGTTGCTCATCCCAGGACAGTGGGAGGAGTATGTGGATGGCAGCCGCCGGGATCACTAAGGTGGCGCGTCCGTCGGAGGTGCCGTGTCCAGTTGTAATGGTATTTACCAGCCATTTTCCCCATTTTCCATCCTGAAACATCCCTCACAGCAGCCAGCGGGAGAGGAGAAAAGGGAAGCATGCAGGGGAAGGAGGATGGGGGGGCCAAGCAGCAGGGGAAATCTGTGCCACATGGGGTGATTAGGGTGTGTCCAGGCACACCCAACACACTCCATGTGCATGCCTATAATGAGAGAATAGAATTCACCTGAGGCACCCTACGTGCCTGGACACACCTAACACACTCCATGTGCATGCCTATAATGAGAGAATAGAATTCACCTGAGGCACCCTACGTGCCTGGACACACCTAACACACTCCATGTGCATGCCTATAATGAGAGAATAGAATTCACCTGAGGCACCCTACGTGCCTGGACACACCCAACACACTCCATGTGCATGCCTATAATGAGAGAATAGAATTCACCTGAGGCACCCTACGTGCCTGGACACACCCAACACACTCCATGTGCATGCCTATAATGAGAGAACAGAGCTCACCTGAGGCACCCTACGTGCCTGGACACACCCAACACACTCCATGTGCATGCCTATAATGAGAGAATAGAATTCACCTGAGGCACCCTACGTGCCTGGACACACCCAACACACTCCATGTGCATGCCTATAATGAGAGAATAGAATTCACCTGAGGCACCCTACGTGCCTGGACACACCCAAACACACTCCATGTGCATGCCTATAATGAGAGAATAGAATTCACCTGAGGCACCCTACGTGCCTGGACACACCCAACACACTCCATGTGCATGCCTATAATGAGAGAATAGAATTCACCTGAGGCACCCTACGTGCCTGGACACACCCAACACACTCCATGTGCATGCCTATAATGAGAGAATAGAATTCACCTGAGGCACCCTACGTGCCTGGACACACCTAACACACTCCATGTGCATGCCTATAATGAGAGAATAGAATTCACCTGAGGCACCCTACGTGCCTGGACACACCCAACACACTCCATGTGCATGCCTATAATGAGAGAATAGAATTCACCTGAGGCACCCCTACGTGCCTGGACACACCCCAACACACTCCATGTGCATGCCTATAATGAGAGAACAGAGCTCACCTGAGGCACCCTACGTGCCTGGACACACCCAACACACTCCATGTGCATGCCTATAATGAGAGAATAGAATTCACCTGAGGCACCCTACGTGCCTGGACACACCCAACACACTCCATGTGCATGCCTATAATGAGAGAATAGAATTCACCTGAGGCACCCTACGTGCCTGGACACACCCAACACACTCCATGTGCATGCCTATAATGAGAGAATAGAATTCACCTGAGGCACCCTACGTGCCTGGACACACCCAACACACTCCATGTGCATGCCTATAATGAGAGAATAGAATTCACCTGAGGCACCCTACGTGCCTGGACACACCCAACACACTCCCATGTGCATGCCTATAATGAGAGAATAGAATTCACCTGAGGCACCCTACTGCCTGGACACACCCAACAACACACTCCATGTGCATGCCTATAATGAGAGAATAGAATTCACCTGAGGCACCCTACGTGCCTGGACACACCCAACACACTCCATGTGCATGCCTATAATGAGAGAACAGAGCTCACCTGAGGCACCCTACATGCCTGGACACACCCAACACACTCCATGTGCATGCCTATAATGAGAGAAACAGAGCTCACCTGAGGCACCCCACGTGTATCCGGGGTCTCATCTCATCAGCTATACAGATTGCCATACACCAGTCAACTCCTGAGAATCTCAGACTGCTTGCTCCATAACGGGGCCTCAAAATCCGGATGGAGAGCGGCATCATTACCGATTGTGGCGTTGCTTTCCGGAAAACGTAATTCGTCCAACTGCATTCCAAATGTTGCATACAAGTGCAGTTGGTCAAGTCCTTGTTCTGGTGATCACAATCGATGCCGCTCGCCATCGTGATTCTGAGGCTCCATTATGACATTCTTTGGTGTTTGTGAATCCTCATGGCCTTGGACCCGAAATACAAAGAGGGCGTGTCTTGTTCTGCAGAAACATCTATGATTGTCACCTAGAGAAAGACGACCTCTTTGTCCCTGAAATGTTGGTGGTTTGACGTTTTGTCCATCTGATGTGGATCTCCAGTGAATTGTGATGAATACATCATTGGGGAGCTGGCCACCTCCCATTATCTGGATTATTTGGCTTCATCGTAGGTTGAAGACCAGTACTGGGACAAGGTCAACTAATGCCCAGGGCGAGCATGCCAAACTGTGACCCCTCCCCCCAACAAGGGTCAGCAAAAAACTCCCCCCCAAAAAAAAAAAAATTGAGCATGCATGCTTACCCTCTATGCATAAATTCTCCCTCCCCCCAGTATCCCCTGCTGAAATCTGGTCTTCCGAGCACAAATCTTTTCCTCCCCATCCCCCCTCCTAGCTCAGTTCCTCTCCACAACCCCCCCCCCCCCCCCCACCAGCACAAATCCCCCCCCCCCTTCAAAAAAAAAAATCACCCCTCCTGGCACAAATGCCCTACCAATCCCCCGTCCTAGCACAAATCCTCTACCCCTCAAATTTCCCCTCCTAGCACAAATACCCCCCCAATACCCCGTCCAAACTCAAATCCCCCCCTAACCAAATTTCCCCCTCCATCCTCTACCATATTACCTCTTCTAGCACAATCCCTCTCCTAGCACAACTCCTCTTCCCCCATCCCAAAACAAATTCCCCCAAATCACCACTCCTAGCACCCTCCAAATTTCCCCTCCTAGAAGAATTATTACCTCCTGCCACTCCTCTCCAATTGCCCCTTCTAGCACCTCTCCCTCTGTCAGAGCCTGGGATCAAACCTGGGCCTTCTGCAGAGAGAGACAGTGTTTCTTCTCACTGAGCCACCTGGAATGCTGGACAGCTCCCTTGATAATTCTTTGGATGATCCTGCCTTGTCCTTGTTTCTCTTGAACCTTGAACTCTTTGCTCCTCCCATGAACTTCCTATATAAGCCATGCCTCCGCACTTCCCCTTTGCCAAATTATTGTGCCTTCCCAGCCAATATCCCGCTTACTGGTCCTGCTGCCGTCTACATCTATGTTACCGACCTTTGGCGTGCTACTGACTACGATTCTGCCTCATCCTATCTACTACCATTGGTGACCGATCCTTGGCTTGTGACTGACTCCGCTTCTGTTTGATCCCTGAACTGTTTGATCCGCTTTTGGTTTCCAGCCTACTCATTCCCTGGTGGGGTGATCCTGAGATCTGTGACATGGTATTCACACGAAGCCAAATCCATCTCCACCATTAGGAGCTCTGGGGAAGACCGGTGGATGCTTAGACCCCGCACCTCAGGTGAGCCTGCGTCATTCCCAGGGTGGGCCGCTGGTGTACCTAACCTGCTGGTTTCAGGTAAGCCTTACACTGCTGTAGCAACTGGTCTCTGAACCTGACCCAGACCGTGACACCCTCCAATCTCCCTGCAACCCCCCCCCCCCCACCACCACCACCTCGTATGATACCACAGTACCCTACTGCTCACCCCCCTTGTCCCGGCCTGCTGAGCACGCATCAAAGGTGTATGAGATGAAGCATCCTCTGGGCGTAGAATGCTCCCTCTGGGCGTAGAATGCTCCCTCTGGGCGTAGATTGCTCCCTCTGAGCGTAGAATGCTCCCTCTGGGCGTAGAATGCTCCCTCTGGGCGTAGAATGCACCCTCTGGGCGTAGAATGCACCCTCTGGGCGTAGAATGCTCCCTCTGGGCGTAGAATGCACCCTCTGGGCGTAGAATGCTCCCTCTGGGCGTAGAATGCTCCCTCTGGGCGTAGAATGCACCCTCTGGGCGTAGAATGCACCCTCTGGGCGTAGAATGCTCCCTCTGGGCGTAGAATGCACCCTCTGGGCGTAGAATGCTCCCTCTGGGCGTAGAATGCTCCCTCTGGGCGTAGAATGCACCCCTCTGGGCGTAGAATGCTCCCTCTGGGCGTAGAATGCACCCTCTGGGCGTAGAATGCTCCCTCTGGAGCGTAGAATGCTCCCTCTGGGCGTAGAATGCTAGGTAAATGCAGTATTTTGCTTGGACCAGCAATTGTTTGGTCTGGTCTGTTGAGGGTTTCACAGGGGCGAGTGCTTCCAGGGCTTAGGGCAGGAGATCCAAAATGATCAGCCTGATTATTTATCAGGTTCTAGCCAATCCCTGGGGTAGGTGTGTCCAGAAAGGGGCTGGAATGGAGATAAATATTCTGCAGCAGTAGAGAGCCGGGTTCCTTCTCCCCAGGAGGGGTCCATGTAGCCTATGGACTACACAACTGCTTTAAAGGGCTCAGAGGTGTCCAGGGCTGAGGTATAGATGGACTCAGCATGGACTGAACCTCACCACTAGGGGCATGAACTGGAGAGGTGCCAAAAAAATTTGCCCCATGGTCTACAATGTGAGGCCTGGACCAGGGAACTTTCTGCCTCTCCGATAGGAAACCATTGACACCAATGATTATTTAAGCTATCTGAGGATTCTTCCCCACTGAGTCCCCAATGTAGAGGGATTCTTCCATGGACCTCCAATGAACCTCACCACAATGTAAGGGCATTCTTCCCACTGAACCCAAATGTAAGGGACATTCCCACTGACCCCAAATGTAAGGGCCTGGACCATTCTTCCCACTGACCTCTCCAATGTAAGGGACATTCTTCCCACTGACCCCAATGTAAGGGACTATCTTCCCACTGACCAAGATTCTTCCCACTGACCCCAATGTAAGGGACATTCTTCCCACTGACCCCAATGTAAGGGACATTCTTCCCACTGACCCCAATGTAAGGGACATTCTTCCCACTGACCCCCAATGTAAGGGACATTCTTCCCACTGACCCCCAATGTAAGGGACATTCTTCCCACTGACCCCCAATGTAAGGGACATTCTTCCCACTGACCCCCCAATGTAAGGGACATTCTTCCCACTGACCCCCAATGTAAGGGACATTCTTCCCACTGACCCCCAATGTAAGGGACATTCTTCCCACTGACCCCCAATGTAAGGGACATTCTTCCCACTGACCCCAATGTAAGGGACATTCTTCCCTGACCCCCAATGTAAGGGACATTCTTCCCACTGACCCCCAATGTAAGGGACATTCTTCCCACTGACCCCCAATGTAAGGGACATTCTTCCCACTGACCACCAATGTAAGGGACATTCTTCCCACTGACCCCCAATGTAAGGGACATTCTTCCCACTGATCCCAATGTAAGGGACATTGTTCCCACTGATCACCAATGTAAGGGACATTCTTCCCACTGACCCCCAATGTAAGGGACATTCTTCCCACTGACCCCCAATGTAAGGGACATTCTTCCCACTGACCCCCAAATGTAAGGGACATTCTTCCCACTGACCCCCAATGTAAGGGACATTCTTCCCACTGACCCCAATGTAAGGGACATTCTTCCCACTGACCCCCAATGTAAGGGACATTCTTCCCACTGACCCCCAATGTAAGGGACATTCTTCCCACTGACCCCCAATGTAAGGGACATTCTTCCCACTGACCCACCCAATGTAAGGGACATTCTTCCCACTGACCCCCAATGTAAGGGACATTGTTCCCACTGATCACCAATGTAAGGGACATTGTTCCCACTGACCCCCACTGATGTAAGGGACATTCTTCCCCCAATATGGGACATTGTTCCCCCCCAATGTAAGGGACATTCTTCCCACTGACCCCCCCAATGTAAGGGACGGTCTTCCCTCTGACCCCCCCCAATGTAAGGGACGTTCTTCCCTCTGACCCCCCCCCAATGTAAGGGACGTTCTTCCCTCTGACCCCCCCCCCAATGTAAGGGACGTTCTTCCCTCTGACCCCCCCAATGTAAGGGACATTCTTCCCTCTGACCCCCCCCCAATGTAAGGGACGTTCTTCACACTGTAGATATAGTCATTATCTTGGGGGTTCCCTGAGACTGGAGGTCATTTCTCAGGTTCCTCTGTATTACGAGGTGGAGAGAGAGACGGATTCCTTATTCCCCCCCCCTGACCCCCCCCCCCCCCCCCCTGGTGATTCCTCATCTACTCCCTGCAAAAGGAAATCCCTCCAATGGAGACACAAACACAAACAATGGCTTATTATAGTTGTGTAAAGAGAGGATTTCTGTCTGTTTATATTGCTGTCTGACCCCTGACCCCTGACAACCTCTCACCATTATTTGTTACACTGGAGTCACAAGGGAGAGGAAGTACTGGGGGGGGGGGGGGAATCCTCCCGATGGGGTCACAGATACAGAGGAAGACCCCCACTCTACCAAGAAAAAACAAAGTCTGGATTAGACATGTGGGAAAGAAAAAAATGTGTCGCTCTTTGATTAGTTACTAATTTCTTTTCATTCAGTTTTGTTTTGTTTATTCATTTTCGACCAGATTCAGATTTTTCCGATGGATTCAAAGTACTGGAATCAAATTCAAATCAAATTTGAATAAAAAAATATGGAATTGATCCAAATTCATTGTGAAGAATAACTGGTTCTATTCTATTTTGACATTTGAATCCCAGAAGACGTTATATTCTTTCTATTCTATTCTAGGTTTTTCTATTCTATTTATTTCCTATTCTATTTTATTCTATTTTTTATTTTCTATTCTGTTTTGTTTTATGCTATACTTTTCTATTCTTTTAAAATTTTGGAAGACGGCTATATTCTTTCTATGTTATTGTTATCTAATCAATTCTTTTTTTATATATTCTATTCTGTTCAATTCTATTCCTTTATTTATTATTCTATTCTACTTTATTCTTTTATTTTCTATTCTGTTCTGTTTTACTGTATTATTTTCTATTCTATTGTTTTCAAAGTTCGAATTTCGAGAGATGGCTATATTCTTTTTATTTTATTGTTATGTAATCTATTTTTTTTTTTTTTTTTAGATTCTGTTCGGTGCAGATCAATTCTATTCCTTTATTTTCTATTTTATACTACTTTATTCTATTCTTTTATATTGTATTCTGTTCTGTTTTACTGTATTCTATTCTATGCTTCTTTTCAAAGTTCAAATTTCGAGTGACGGCTGTATTCTTTCTATTTTATTCTATTATCTAATCTATTTTTTATATTCTATTCTGTTTAAATCTATTCTATTTCTTTATTTTCTATTATGTTCTACTGTATTCTATTCTTTTAATTTCTATTCTGTTCTGTTTTACTCTATTCTTTTCTACTCTATTCTTTTCAAAGTTCAAATTTCGGAAGACGGCTATATTCTTTCTATTTTATTCTATTGCTATCTAAGCTGTTTTTTTTATATTTTTTTTTTGTTTATATATTCTATTCTGTTCAAATCAGTTCTATTCCTTTATTTTATATTCTATTCTAATTTATTCTGTTCTTTTATTTTCTATTCTCTTTTTTTGAAATTCAATTTTTGGAAGATGGCTATATTCATTCTATTTTTTTTTCTGTTCTATTCTTTTGTTTTCTATTCTCTTCTGTTTTTAACCTATTCTATTCAAAATACGAATTTTGGAGGTTATTATATTCTAATACAAGGAAATCAGCAATAGTCAGCAATATGTTTACATTTTGAATTCAATTTCGTTTTCGAATTTGATTCGAGTTCGATTTGAATTTTGCCCACAATTGTGTTTTGTTTTTTTTTCGCATTCGTTTAAATTCTTCACTATTGTAATTCAGAAATACGGATACATCCAATTCTCCGAATTATGAAACATTTCCTCTGAATCTTGATTCTGAACGAAGCGAGCCGCACGCGTCTAGTCTGGAGTCGGGTTTTTACATCTCAATTCATTAAACTGATCCAGTAAATCTTCAGTATCACTGATCTGCATACAATGGCACCCCGAGGGGTAGTCTCACTCCTTTTGCTGTAACTCCATCACCTGATATTTCTGGAGGAACAATTTTGTACCGCCGGCATAACGCCGATTTTACTTTCTTCTTTTTTTTTTTTTTTTTTTTTTTAGTTTTCTCGTCTCAGGAAATATATTTCCTCTCGCCGGCTTTATTAGATATCTCCTGCCTGAAGCACTTGGCCATCGGCAACAGAAATCCTTCACATGGGATTTGGCCCATTTGTGGGAATCATGGCGGTAATCACTCCAGGTCTATTACCGCCCCACAGGAGAGCGGATTTGTCAGGACGGGAGAACAAAACACTCTATTTGTCCGACTCTCCATTGTCTGGGGAGCGGAAAGGTCAGTAAATGAAGGAAAGGATTCGCACTCCTTCCATCTACAACCCGGAGCAATACAAACCATGATGGATGTACGCTGGAACTAAGGGGCTCCGGGGATCTGCCCTGGGGGGGGGGGAGACTGTAATTAAGGGGTTAAGGAAGACGGTAATGACGGCATTTTCCTCCCAGAAGTGAAGCGGTGATGAAGACAAAGTTGTAAAGGTATAAAAAAGGCGGAAAAACCCGATACAGCTGACGCAGGTCATGTGATTAATAGGTGGCCGGCCTGACAGCCTATCACAGAGCCACTCATTGGAATTTATCTGCAAAACGGCAAATTCAAGAGACAAGAAATGTAAAAAATAAAATACAATACAGTACATACTGGATGAACAATAAGAAAAAATCTATGTTACAGGGGAGTCCAAAAACCAAAAAACTTGCGTGTCTGCTATTTACAGACTGTCAATAGCAAAGACACAGAAGTTTTTGGTTTTGGACTCCCCTGTACATAGTATTCATCCAGCCAGTAGATCCAATATTTCTTCAGTAGACCAAGCTGTCCAGCAGAACTGGAAATTACAAAGATTGGGACAAACCATTTAACACACTGACAGGGGTGCTTACAACCATCAATAAAAAGCTATTGTTGTAAAATGATGAAAGATGTTTTGCTGTAAGACTTGGACGACTTTGTAACACTGGGGGAGAATATTTATTTAAAGTCGCTTAAACTATACCCCAAGTATTGTCCCCGCCCCCCCATATGTCCCCGCGCCCCCGTATATACACTATATAGCCCCAAGTATTGTCCCCCCCCGCCCCCCCATATTGTCCCCCCCCGTATATACACTGTATTGTCCCCGTCCCCCGTATATGCACTATATTGTCCCCGTAAGTATTGTCCCCCCCCCCTGTATATACACTATATAGCCCCAAGTATTGTCCCCATCCCCCCCATATATACACTGTATTGTCCCCAAGTATTGTCCCCGCCCCCCATATATACACTGTCCCCCCCCGTATTGTCCCCCCGTCCCCCCGTATATGCACTATATAGCCCCAAGTATTGTCCCCGCCCCCCGTATATACACTATATAGCCCCAAGTATTGTCCCCGCCCCCCGTATATACACTATATTGCCCCACGTATTGGGCCCCGGCCTTCCCACACACATAACCTTTAATGGCCCCCCAGTCTTAGTCCGTAGGGTTCAATATTGAGTTGGCCCCGCCCTTTCCACACACATGACCTTTAATGACCCCCCAGTCTTAGTCCGTAGGGTTCAATATTGAGTTGGCCCCGCCCTTCCCACACACATGACCTTTAATGACCCCCCAGTCTTAGTCTTAGTCCGTAGGGTTCAATATTATTGAGTTGGCCCCGCCCTTCCCACACACATGACCTTTAATGACCCCCCAGTCTTAGTCCGTAGGGGCCTCCCAGTCAATATTGAGTTGGCCCCGCCCTTTCCACACACATGACCTTTAATGACCCCCCGTCGGGTTCAGAGTCTTAGTCCCCCCAGTCGGGTTCAATATTGAGTTGGCCCCGCCCTTTGCAGCTATAACAGCTTCACCTCTTCTGGGAAGGCCGTCCCACAAGGTTTAGGAGGGTGTCTATGGGAAGGTTGGACCATTCTTCCAGAAGCACATTTGTCAGGTCAGGCACTGATGTCGGGGGAGGAGGCCTGGCTCGCAGTTCCGCTCTAATTCATCCCAAAGGTGTTCTATGGGGTTGAGGTCAGGACTCTGTGCAGGACAGTCAAGTTCCTCCACCCAAAACTGGCTCCTCCATGTCTTTATGGACCTTGCTTTGTGCACTGGGGGGGCAGTCATGTTGGAACAAGAAGGGGCCATCCCCAAACTCCTCCCACAAAGTTGGGAGCATGAAATTGTCCAAAATGTCGCCTTAAGAGTTCCCTTCACTGGAACTAGGGGGCCAAGCCTAACCCCTCAAAATAACCCCACGCCATAATTCCCCCTCCACCAAACCTTACACTTGGCACAATGCAGTCAGGCAAGTACCGTTCCCCTGGCC